AGGAGATTTTGTGCCTGGGTTTGAAAACCAAAGTGTGTGAGCCACCCTGAGGACATCAGTCGCAACCACTACCTTATTCGTTATGAGTGACATTAGTCGTTCTGTCTGTGTTTGCTCGAAGATTGCTCGCATATGAAACTCACGAAGTTGGGTAACAAAGTACGCATGATATGCGGTGGTGTGATGAATTCTTTGTTATGAAGTGAAACAAAGGTCATTGAACAAGAGGAGCACAGTATAAATTTCGATGAGACACGGAATTCAATCAAACGTGGTTAAGATGCAACGTTCTTGCCTTCTCCTGACGTTCTTGTTGTACGTCAACTACGCTGCATGGTTAGGCGCTGTTTGTGTCGGTTCGCGGTTGTTTCACAGTGATCAGGCAAGAAACTGGGTTGTTCTGGTCGCTGGATCCAATGGTTGGGAGAACTACCGACACCAAGTGAGTCTGTATTTATTTTAAGATGGCTTGTCTTGTTTGTCTGTTTCGAAATCACATCTGATCACTTTCAGCAGTGGGCCAACGTTTGCTTCTCACCAAAAGTAATGGTTTTGCACACGTAAATGAGACAGAAATCTCAAAGATTTATCACGATGGTGTAATTCACACTGGCGAAATCAATAGTAGCTCAGTGCCTGTTCCAGGATTTGGAATTGTGGCATGATTTAAAGAATGCTGCTCAAGACGAGGTGCCAAAGTAATGTCAGATATCAGCAACGCTCGAACTAATAGAAGCTAAGTAAATTCGGATCAGCGCCATGGGTGGCAAAGCAGGTTGCCGAATAAATAGAATGCAACTCCGATTAAGCTCCGGAAGACGCATTTGCCCGAAAGATGGCCGTAAAGATCGAAATTCCTAACAACCTAAAATTTCAATCCTCGTAGTGCGACTGATTGGTGGACAGGGTATATTTTTGTGAAAATGGGTATAATTGTGAGTGCTACACGTCATGGTCCGTGGGACATACTCCTTGTGTGTAACGACGGGATACGTTCAATGGTAGTTCGGAAATTCGGCCTGAAAAGACTCCAGGAATTTTTGAAACGACAAAATTATCTGCATGATAACTCTTATAATCACTCGTCTGATGATTAGGAAGTGGTATTTTCTCATGTGCACTATCCGTTTACTGCATAAGAATGCTTTCTACTCTGCAATTCATCCTTCGTATGCTGGTCTTCATTACACGCGGTTTTTCTACTCCTATTCAGGCGAATGTATATCGCGCGTATCAAATCATGAAGCGCAACAACATTTCGACAGAGCAAATAATTACCTTCGCCTACGATGATATTGC